CAACCTCGGGCAACCACCAATCCTTTTATTGTCTCCATAGATTTTACATTTTCCAGAATGTCATATAATTGGAAATTATGTGGGATATAGCCTTTTCAGACGGGCTTCTTTCACTTAGTAATATGCATTCACATTTCCTCCGTGTCCTTTCATGGTTTGATAGCTCATTTCTATCTAGTGCTAAATAATATTCCATCATATGAATGTGCCACAGTTTGTTTATCTTCACCTACTAAAGGACATCTTGGTGCTTCATTTTTTAGCAACAATGAATAAAATCTGCTACCAGGATTTTTCATAAGGGCAGAACAGTAGATACGAAACTGAATGCCTATCATTGGTAGAATGAATGAATTACGGTACATCCATACCATGAACAATTGTGCAACCATTATAAAGAGGAATGGAGCTCAACTGTTTGGCTTAAAGGAATTTCCATGAGGTGTTAAGAGAGAACACAAAGACGTAGGAAAGTATATGTTACCTTGTATAGAAAAGAGTATGTGACTGTAGAACAAACAATAACCAAAGAAAATGGATGGATGTATTTAGGTAAAGATAAATATACTCTACATAGAAGAGTTACGCTATTATTTATAGTAGATTGTTAATGTAGATTGGCTTTGGTGTGCAAAGAGGGTAAAAAGGGATAAGGGAGGCTAAGCAAAAGAGGGAGAGGAAAACCTGCACTAAAAATCTTTTAGAAGTATATCATCACATTTATGCATTTATATTAATATGTACAGATTTTAAAAGTTCAGTTAAAGGATCTTAAATAGAGAATAAGTACAAAATAAGACACTGGCAGTCTTGAGTTTAGGAATGTAAGGTAAGGATGCGAAGAACCTAAATATTGTGACTGTTCTTCTGAATGATTTGGAATAGAACAATAGAGAAAGTCTCTTAGAGAACAACTTGTCTATAATAGAGAAGCTCAAGATGAGGATAGACCTGAAGGAGGGACTTCATTAGAATAGGAAAGATTTGATTATGTCCATAGGGATATGGGAGAGGGTGACAGTAAGGAGGGAAGACTTGAAAAACACACAAGAAGAGGGGATGTTCAATAGACCAAAGTCCTCATCTTGGAGGAAGATGGGCTGCAGAGCTCAAAAGCTTAAAAAAGGGATTTTTCTTAAATGAGAGAAGAGGTATCTCTTCCTCTGGGACTGGAAGGAAGAAGAGGGGAGAAGGTACAGAACACAGGCAATTGCACATGGGTCTGGGGAGTCCATGCCTGCACCTTATTACACCATGACCCAGACAGTGTTTGGGAAGTTTAATTTGGCAAGGACCACAGGCAAGGAGAAATGCAAAGTTGCTGTAGTCAATTAGGCACAAGGTGATAAAGACCTCCATCAGGCTAATAGCAGCAAACAGGGGAAAGAAAGGTCAATTTTGCAAGATATTGCAGAAGACCTTAGCTTTTTTTTTTCCTATCTTCAGTGTTCCAGTCTGTCAGCAACATTCCTGGGGTGAAACTCCCTAGAAACAGGAGTGGGAGCAATATGGTAAAATACTTAAAGTAGCGAAGTCTTGCATCAACAGAATTTTGAGTCACTGGAAATGTTTACCTTTGAGTAAAGAAAAATACTATCTTCAGTAGTTGATAATTCTATCGATACCTAGCTGATCATAGGAGAGCAATTAGATTGTTTTTAGGGAAGATCTTACACATAAACATGATCAGCAATCATTAAAATGTTAAACATTTGGGATAAAGTAACCCAAGTTTTCTAACACATATAATGAAAGTTTTGTTTTGTTTAACAGATATTAATGAGTGTCAAGAATCCAGCCCCTGTCACCACCGTTGTTTCAATACCATAGGCAGTTTTCACTGTGGATGTGAACCTGGGTATCAGCTCAAAGGCAGGAAGTGTATGGGTAAGAAAAGGGCTTTGAATTCAAAGCAGTGGCATTTCTGTAACTTCTTAGTGGTGTCCGATCTAATCCATATGCTATGTCCTGGGCTGGATTGATACATCTACCAGGCATAATGTATATAATCCACAGAAAAACAAATGCAGCAAAAGCCATACTCATAAGCTTCATTGTCTAATTATATAGATCTTTCTTCTTAACATTTCTCCTATTATATTTACCAAATTTTTTTCACAAAAATATAATATATATGTAAACAAAGTTATGTATAATATATATAATTTTCACTTTTCTAGGAGGAGGAAGTGGTTAGTACGGCAACTAGTTCTGTGAAGTAATTTTTTTTATCATTTTGTTTCAAAATAAAGTATGTTCCATACATCAATGGATTTAAACACTGTAACCTTATACAATCAACATCTATAATAGTTTATGATATTCTTAATATCCATAGGTGTAATTTCTGTGGCAAAGTGAAAGAAATCATTTTCTCAATCTGCATTGCCTTTGTTCTTTTATCTAGATGTGAATGAGTGCAGACAGAATGTATGCAGACCAGATCAGCATTGCAAGAACACCCGTGGCGGCTATAAATGCGTTGATCTTTGTCCAAACGGAATGACCAAGGCAGAAAATGGAACGTGCATTGGTGAGTGAGTGACTGTTTCCATGACTGAGAGCCATTTACCATCAACAAGCCAAATAAGGCATTTCTTCTTAAAACTAATGAATAGGGTAAACTTAATCAAACCAGGAAATCTTTTTTTTCCACAGATTTTTAACTCTATGTATGGTTGAACTTCTAAGATGGTTGAACTCTGGGGTAGCAGGGTCATGGCTTTACCAGGAAATCGAAGCTCACCATGGAGACTTACGACCATTGTGAGCCCCCCGTCAATTACACGCTTGGTTGACATAAAGATCCACATAAATTGATATTATTCAGCATCATTTCCAATATGTAATTTAGCCTATATGTTGAGAATTTCATAGGGGGGATAGGAAAAATTATATTCAAAGTTCAAAATATAACTATTTTAGAACTACATATTCTTTGAATGTCAAATCCATGGTCAGACAGTAAAGCAAATTGTGTTTCTCCCTAAGTTCATTTTTGTGTGCCTATTCTGTACTAGTCTGCCTCAGTTAGCAGAATTTGAGCTACATGATTTACAAAAATGAAACAGACAACATTCCTGATCTCATGTCTTTACAATCTACTGAGATTGGCCAAGTCCACTCCCCTTCTCAAAAGAAAAAAAAAAACTATGATACAAGGCAGAATGAAATACCATAAAAGAAGAACAAATAAAAAATTCTACAGAAAAGTACTCAAAAGAGTGATCATATCAAATAGGAGTGACTATCAGAAGTGTCTTGGAAGTGATAACATTTAAATGTAGCTTTGAATGGAATGTTAACAGGTGGAAGTGTTTAAAAAAAAGTCAAGAAAGCCTTCTACGAGGGGAAAGAGCTGGACTTAGAGATAATGTACTAAAATTCACCCTTCCTTCTTGATAGCTACCTGAACTTGAACAAGTTTTAAGATGACACAGAAACTTGAGTTTAAGTTTCTCATTTAAAAAATGTGACATTTTTATTTCATTCTGAAATATTTATCAATTAAGTCACAGTGTGTCAGATTTGTTCCAAAATAATGAGATTTTTCATAAGGGCAGAACAGTAGATACGAAACTGAATGCCTATCATTGGTAGAATGAATGAATTACGGTACATCCATACCATGAACAATTGTGCAACCATTATAAAGAGGAATGGAGCTCAACTGTTTGGCTTAAAGGAATTTCCATGAGGTGTTAAGAGAGAACACAAAGACGTAGGAAAGTATATGTTACCTTGTATAGAAAAGAGTATGTGACTGTAGAACAAACAATAACCAAAGAAAATGGATGGATGTATTTAGGTAAAGATAAATATACTCTACATAGAAGAGTTACGCTATTATTTATAGTAGATTGTTAATGTAGATTGGCTTTGGTGTGCAAAGAGGGTAAAAAGGGATAAGGGAGGCTAAGCAAAAGAGGGAGAGGAAAACCTGCACTAAAAATCTTTTAGAAGTATATCATCACATTTATGCATTTATATTAATATGTACAGATTTTAAAAGTTCAGTTAAAGGTTCTTAAATAGAGAACAAGTACAAAATAAGACACTGGCAGTCTTGAGTTTAGGAATGTAAGGTAAGGATGCGAAGAACCTAAATATTGTGACTGTTCTTCTGAATGATTTGGAATAGAACAATAGAGAAAGTCTCTTAGAGAACAACTTGTCTATAATAGAGAAGCTCAAGATGAGGATAGACCTGAAGGAGGGACTTCATTAGAATAGGAAAGATTTGATTATGTCCATAGGGATATGGGAGAGGGTGACAGTAAGGAGGGAAGACTTGAAAAACACACAAGAAGAGGGGATGTTCAATAGACCAAAGTCCTCATCTTGGAGGAAGATGGGCTGCAGAGCTCAAAAGCTTAAAAAAGGGATTTTTCTTAAATGAGAGAAGAGGTATCTCTTCCTCTGGGACTGGAAGGAAGAAGAGGGGAGAAGGTACAGAACACAGGCAATTGCACATGGGTCTGGGGAGTCCATGCCTGCACCTTATTACACCATGACCCAGACAGTGTTTGGGAAGTTTAATTTGGCAAGGACCACAGGCAAGGAGAAATGCAAAGTTGCTGTAGTCAATTAGGCACAAGGTGATAAAGACCTCCATCAGGCTAATAGCAGCAAACAGGGGAAAGAAAGGTCAATTTCGCAAGATATTGCAGAAGACCTTAGCTTTTTTTTTTCCTATCTTCAGTGTTCCAGTCTGTCAGCAACATTCCTGGGGTGAAACTCCCTAGAAACAGGAGTGGGAGCAATATGGTAAAATACTTAAAGTAGCGAAGTCTTGCATCAACAGAATTTTGAGTCACTGGAAATGTTTACCTTTGAGTAAAGAAAAATACTATCTTCAGTAGTTGATAATTCTATCGATACCTAGCTGATCATAGGAGAGCAATTAGATTGTTTTTAGGGAAGATCTTACACATAAACATGATCAGCAATCATTAAAATGTTAAACATTTGGGATAAAGTAACCCAAGTTTTCTAACACATATAATGAAAGTTTTGTTTTGTTTAACAGATATTAATGAGTGTCAAGAATCCAGCCCCTGTCACCACCGTTGTTTCAATACCATAGGCAGTTTTCACTGTGGATGTGAACCTGGGTATCAGCTCAAAGGCAGGAAGTGTATGGGTAAGAAAAGGGCTTTGAATTCAAAGCAGTGGCATTTCTGTAACTTCTTAGTGGTGTCCGATCTAATCCATATGCTATGTCCTGGGCTGGATTGATACATCTACCAGGCATAATGTATATAATCCACAGAAAAACAAATGCAGCAAAAGCCATACTCATAAGCTTCATTGTCTAATTATATAGATCTTTCTTCTTAACATTTCTCGTATTATATTTACCAAATTTTTTTCACAAAAATATAATATATATGTAAACAAAGTTATGTATAATATATATAATTTTCACTTTTCTAGGAGGAGGAAGTGGTTAGTACGGCAACTAGTTCTGTGAAGTAATTTTTTTTATCATTTTGTTTCAAAATAAAGTATGTTCCATACATCAATGGATTTAAACACTGTAACCTTATACAATCAACATCTATAATAGTTTATGATATTCTTAATATCCATAGGTGTAATTTCTGTGGCAAAGTGAAAGAAATCATTTTCTCAATCTGCATTGCCTTTGTTCTTTTATCTAGATGTGAATGAGTGCAGACAGAATGTATGCAGACCAGATCAGCATTGCAAGAACACCCGTGGCGGCTATAAATGCGTTGATCTTTGTCCAAACGGAATGACCAAGGCAGAAAATGGAACGTGCATTGGTGAGTGAGTGACTGTTTCCATGACTGAGAGCCATTTACCATCAACAAGCCAAATAAGGCATTTCTTCTTAAAACTAATGAATAGGGTAAACTTAATCAAACCAGGAAATCTTCTTTTTCCACAGATTTTTAACTCTATGTATGGTTGAACTTCTAAGATGGTTGAACTCTGGGGTCGCAGGGTCATGGCTTTACCAGGAAATGGAAGCTCACCATGGAGACTTACGACCATTGTGAGCCCCCCGTCAATTACACGCTTGGTTGACATAAAGATCCACATAAATTGATATTATTCAGCATCATTTCCAATATGTAATTTAGCCTATATGTTGAGAATTTCATAGGGGGGATAGGAAAAATTATATTCAAAGTTCAAAATATAACTATTTTAGAACTACATATTCTTTGAATGTCAAATCCATGGCCAGACAGTAAAGCAAATTGTGTTTCTCCCTAAGTTCATTTTTGTGTGCCTATTCTGTACTAGTCTGCCTCAGTTAGCAGAATTTGAGCTACATGATTTACAAAAATGAAACAGACAACATTCCTGATCTCATGTCTTTACAATCTACTGAGATTGGCCAAGTCCACTCCCCTTCTCAAAAGAAAAAAAAAACAAAACTATGATACAAGGCAGAATGAAATACCATAAAAGAAGAACAAATAAAAAATTCTACAGAAAAGTACTCAAAAGAGTGATCATATCAAATAGGAGTGACTATCAGAAGTGTCTTGGAAGTGATAACATTTAAATGTAGCTTTGAATGGAATGTTAACAGGTGGAAGTGTTTAAAAAAAAGTCAAGAAAGCCTTCTACGAGGGGAAAGAGCTGGACTTAGAGATAATGTACTAAAATTCACCCTTCCTTCTTGATAGCTACCTGAACTTGAACAAGTTTTAAGATGACACAGAAACTTGAGTTTAAGTTTCTCATTTAAAAAATGTGACATTTTTATTTCATTCTGAAATATTTATCAATTAAGTCACAGTGTGTCAGATTTGTTCCAAAATAATGTAAGAGTGGGACAAGGGTATAGATGTAAATAAGGAATATTGACCACTTGTTGAGGTACATGAAGGTTTAGCATACTTTTTTAAAAAGAAACTGGGAATATTTAACAAGATTTCTAGAGCCGAAAATATTGTGTAAAATAAGGTATTATGTTGCAACTTGTTAAATATGTTTATTCAGACATTGGATGTTGTATTTTTATGTATTTTTTTAAATATTAATAAAATTGAATAAAAGAACATTCTAGGTTAATGCACGGTTTGGATGACAGTAGCTCTCAGCTGTTGCCTTTACGGGAGGTCGCGCCCAGCAGCTTCACCTGTATTGAAGAGAGTCTGTCTCAGTCCTTCAAACAGTACAAAACTATAAATGGACATCCAGATCATTAAAGTATGTCCTCATTTAGAAACTTTGGCAGTCCGAGTATTTAAACTGTTTTGACGATCAAATTTTTGGTTGCCTTAAGATACTTTGTCATAGTTTTTATGTTTGCTGTACTGCCAAATAAATTTATACCTCCCAAAGTTGAGATGCAACAATGAAATAAAGCAACTATGTATGCTCTGTCTGTGAATTGTTCCACAGACTAATATATTTTGTAAATAACTCTTCCAAAATCACATATCAATAAAGCAGTCTTGCCATATACATTATGTAAAAAGGTCATTTTTAAAAATCAGTTTTTAAATTCATGTTTGTACATCAAAAGGGTTTTTTTTTAAAACTACCTTTTCTGTGTTTAATATGCTGTAGTGCAATAACCTAGATGCTCTATAGTCTGTATATCAGGATCTGATTTACAAGAACAAAGTCAGAGCCAAACACTCGTGATGCCAGAGCGTCACGAAAATCATTGTTTCTTAATTTCATTTACCACATTGTGAACTTGTGATTCAGATTCTTCGATTTTCACGGACAATTGAAAACAAAAAAGTACTCTTGTAAAATGCTCTTTCCTGTCTTTTCTTTGCAAAGCAGAAATATTTTAATGTAAAATAAAAATGGAGCTCAGTGGGCAGTATTAATAAAGGCCATGTTTAAAAAAAAAAGAAGAAACTCGGGAAACGGGGGATTTCTTACTAAGTCAGATTTCAAAGACTCTTTTCAGCAATGTAGACATAGGTGAACATTTTAACTTCTAAGGGTAGTAGCCAATTAGTCATATGCAGTGTTGTGCAACTATTAAGTTTTTTTAAGAATGTTGACTCTGTAATTATGTGTAAGATTAATTTGAAATTAAATGAGCTGAAAGACCAGAAGACTGTTTAAGAAGCTATAGCAAAAATATGGATAAGTGAAAATGGAAAGCAGGGATATATGGGTTGGACGGAAGGCAGTAGAATTACCCAATAGCTCTGATGTTGAATAACTGAGAATTAACTCTGATATTTGCAGCCTGGTTGACTGGGGGCGAAAGAATGCTGTTCTCATAAATAAAGAAGCAATGATGAGACACTGCAGGTGTGTTGAGTGTGAAATGCTGGGAAAACATGGAGATGGAGAGGACCAGCTAGCAGCTAGAAATGTGAGATTGTAGGCAAGAAATTATATCCTACAACTGCTATAAATCTACATCAACAAGCTTACTAGGGTCACCAGTATAAATAAAATGGCCAAAGGAGTGGGGATTATAAAGAAGGGGGAGTAGAGGAAGCTAGGAATAAAACTTTTAACATAGTAGGGAGCAAGACGACAAAAGGGAACCAGTGAATAAGTGGCAGGGCTAAGACTTGAACCAGGTTATTTGACTCCACGTCTCAACCACATGGTGAAAAATGCAACCTTTGGCAATTCTGAAGAATGTTCACTTTAAATATAATGACTTTAGTTCTTGAAAGAGAAACTGTTATTACTTTTCACTGTCTCCATCTCTGTAGATATTGATGAATGTAAAGATGGGACCCATCAGTGCAGATATAACCAGATATGTGACAATACAAGAGGCAGCTATCGTTGTGTATGTCCCAGAGGTTACCGGTCTCAAGGAGTTGGGAGACCCTGTGTGGGTAAGTCAACAGGAACTCTTGTTGAGTAATAAAGCTACTAATATAGTTCTCTAGTCTTACCAACTTTACTAGCACCACTCTCTATCTTCAAATGCTTTCTTGCTACCATTTGAAGATTTCTAAGTTGTTTAAGTAATTCGTAATATAATTCAAGTTACTTCTTAGAGACATTATGTTGAGTTCAAGTTACACTGACATTTTCAGTGATAATAATAACTACTTACAGAGTGCTAACTACACATTACACATATCAAAGTGAGGTTCTGATAGATATGTAATTATCATGGCAACTTAATTGCCATGATAAATGTTTGCATAGATACATTTTTCTTGACTGTGAAGTGTACTTGTGTTATAAAGGTTCGTGTATGAGGGATTAAAATGTGAACACACAATTAAATGAATTGGTAATCATTACTTTATCTTCCATATATTTAATGCTTACTATGTGCCATTTCCTGTTCTAAGAATCTCTAATTCTCCCAATTGCCTATTTGTTTCCATCTTAGCTATAATTGAATACAAAGTAAGGCAGATATAGATAATACCTGTAAGAAGGTAAAACCATATGCTTTCTTAAAAAAATTAATGCATTTATAATCAAGAAACTGCCCTATCAAATTATATTCCTCCTCAGAACATATAAGTGCAGCAAAAAAATTGTGGGGCTTTTAAATACTGGCTATTGGTTTGTATGCTATGCTTTTAAAAATGGCTGCCCTTGATTCTCTACTTAATTATTTATATCAAATTCTCCCACACATACTTAATTTAGTCTTTATACAAACCCCAGCATAGCACTTTGAACATAGTAAATGTTCAAATACCATTACTAGAAACTCTTTTAAAATAAATGATTTTAAATAGCAGAAATATGTAGCATATCACTTTAATTCTCCATTTATATATTGTAATTTAACATCTTGAACAGTCATAACTGTGACCTAGTAGAATGAAATGTGTTTATTTGCTTACTAAGTTGACTTGAAGTTGAATGGCAGGCATTGGACTAGGGAATAAATCAATGAAGAACGTAGGGCCATCACCTTAAAAAGATTAAAAATGTTCATTTTAACTTTTGCCTTTTAAAGTAATTGTTAAAGAAAAATTTTCTGCTTTTATTTTGCTTTTCATGTTAGTTTCTTTCATGCCTTAGTGGACAGATAGCATATCACCATGGTCATGAATTAAAGAATTTGGTTTTGATCTTTGATTTTTACTCACTTTTCCAATTTACAGGAGTTGTAAGTATGTACTGTTGACCTAGGAATAGAAAAAAAGTAACTTTCTTTAATCTTATAGACTTTATGAATTTATACCTTAGTAAGAAATGATTCTGTGCCTTCATTTCCTTATTTTTAATTTTTTAAAAGAAAAAAGGCTTGGGTTGATTAATAATTATTAATTCAAAAGAGACAAAAGAAAATGAAAGTGTGTTGTGCCAATATTTATGTATTTGAAATGTATAATTCTATGAATAACTAGAGGCCCTAGTGATCAATATTATAATTAAATGCATAAAGATGTAATTCTTGGGTTATCCATTCTTCCCTCCACCTACAGGATTAAGATCTACATTAGCTTTGAACTCTAGTCTTTCAGGATCACATTTTCCCACATGACCCTTGAGGTTACTACTGTATGAGTGAAGCAGTCTTTAGGGAGAGTCACAGAATCTTTCTACATATTCATAACTGAATGATTAAAGCTTTCTTAAGAGTTCACAACAGTTGAGAAATTATTGTGTTCCTGGCTTTGGAGGGTAACATAATGCCTTCAAGTTTGTTTCACGGACTGATTCTTTATTCCTGTGTTTTCTTTGTGTATGTGTATGTTTTTTTTTCTCTTTTTTATGTATCATGGCACACGAGCAGACATTAATGAATGTGAACAAGTGCCTAAGCCTTGTGCATATCAGTGCTCCAACACCCCCGGCAGCTTCAAGTGTATCTGTCCACCAGGACAACATTTATTAGGGGACGGGAAATCTTGCGCTGGACTGGAGAGACTGCCGCAGTATGGCACTCAGTTCAATAGCTATAACCTTGCTCGGTTCTCCCCTGTGAGAAACAACTATCAACCTCAGCAGCATTACAGACAGTATTCACATCTCTACAGCTCCTACTCAGA